GAGGGCCCCAGGCACCCCCCATAGACACGCCAGGACTTAAGCCTGTGGTGTTCTTAGCAATGACCCCAAAGACATAAATAATACTCAGCCGGCTTTGAGGCTCCGCTTCAAAAATGCTAATGGCTTTTCTTGGAGGAAAACACATTGGTCACAAATTTCTCTTGTCTCTTTAATGGGAACCCTGGATGCTGACCCCACAGAGAGAGAGGTGGTGTGTGTGTGTGAGAGAGAGAGAAACAAGGACTGAAAGAGAGAGGGAAGTGGGGGAGGAGGGAGAGAGGGAGGCAGAGAGCAGGGCAGAAAAAGAGCTAGAAAAGAACAAAGGGGGGGGCAAGAGGCGAGAGAAAGCAAGATAAAGGACTGCCACTCCCCACCATGTAGTTCATCCAGGGGTCCAGGACCCCTCAAGGGCAGCAGGTGGTGAAAGACCCCTGTGGGGCAAAGCATTGGTCCTTTCTGCTCACCCAGGCTCCCTCTGTGTGGGGGTGAGGAAGAGAGTTACCCTATGGGCTCTGCGGTCACATGGGAGCCTCTCTCGGGACTGAGCAGTGGGTAGGGGCGCTCCTCCCTTTTCTGGGGGTGCATTCAGGGAGCCAAGTTACTTCATTTACCACTCAGGGGACAGTCTAGGACCTCAGGACTGCTGAATCGGAGCCTGTGGGTGTACAGGGTACACTCTGGCCCCATGGGGAGGCAGGCCAGCTCCAGGCAGACCTGTTCCTAGCCTAGGCTGTGAGCCCCACTTCTCTGCCTCAGATTCTGAAGCCTCTGCTGGCCCGCTGGCCACCCTGCCCTGTCTTCACTCCAGGGCAGAGCTTTACTCCTGAGGGAGGTTTAAGGAAAGCATTCCCTCACAGCTGCTCAAATGCTACGGCCTGAGGCGGGTCCTTATTTGGAGAGAGGGTCTTTGCAGATGTCAGAAGGCTGAGATAAAGCTGAACTGGGATGGGGTGGACCCCAAACAAGGGGACTGTCTGTGACAAGGAGGGGACATATGAGCTACAACAGCGGAGGCAGAGTACAGTTCTGCCCACATCTTGACTTCCGACCTGTGGCTTCCAGAACGTAAAGAGATGCAATCTGCTGTCTTAAGTCACCACACGTCTGGGCACACTTGTCACCTGGTGGTTAAGCACTGCTCCTTGTCCACTAGCAGTATCACAGGACACCTGTCATCCTTACTACCTCAGGATAGCAAAGTGGTCTCAGTGAGAAAGCAAGCAGAGGGGGTCTGGTCTGCATGGGGCTCCCAGGACATTGCTCCCAGCCAAGTTCAGCCATCCAGCTTCAAGAAGCCAATTTGAAACAGCCAACTTAATAGCAAAAAGTAGAAAAAGTCCCAGAGTGCTGGAATTATATCTTTAAACCCAGCATACGGAGGTAGAAACAAGAGGATCTCTGGGAGTTTGAAGCCAGCCTGCCCTACTTACCCAGTTCTAGACCTCCCCCACAACCTCTGAGAGACAGAGATCCAATGTGGTTTTTGGGTACAGACTGTGACCCCCACTTTGGTAACAGCAGAAGCAATGTAGTGTATACCCACTGCCTGTAGGAAGCCAGGTGAACCTCTGCAATGCTACCTTGTGGTCAGTGACAGCTCAAGAGGTGGCTGATGGCACACACAGGATATTTCATGTCCTTCAAGGTCATCATTCACCTCCCCATCCAGCCGTGGAAACGGGGTTCCCTTGGCTGGTGGTGATTTAGGGCCCCAGACACTTTCGGCAACATCACAGGGGACAGTTTTAGTTTTCAGGATTTGAGAGCCATCGCCAGCCCAGCAGAGGCTAGGGTTGTGGTTAAAGGTCACATGCCATGGCATGCAGGTTGGGAGACCCATTTCAACGGCACAAGAGTTAGTGTGGGGTGTGGGGAGGGCACAGAGTTTGGGGGTACCTGCTCAGATCCCCACAGAAGACACCTAACATTGACATTTTTGCCTCAAATTGGGGGATCCCGTTATAGGCTTTCTCATTTCAAAATCTGCCAGCCCTCGGGCTCCCTGTTATCTGAGCACACCCGGGGAGCAGCTCATTAGCTCTTCACCCCTAAACAAGCCTGACCTTGCTGGGCTGGCCGTGCCTGCTAATCTCGGCAGCCAGGGCCCACTCACATCTCGGCTTGCCATGCGTGTCCAAACAGCCCGTCTAGACCCAGCCTCTGCTCCACCCAGGACAGCAAGCAGAAGATGCTAACTGTGGCCCTGCCAGGCCTGTATCTCACAAGCTTCCAGCAGGCCAGTGGGACCAGGTGATAGCTTCAAGGCTCAGCAGGGAGACCACTCAGGGTTGTTGCGTAGGAAGCTTGAACTAGAACCTGGACGAACTCAGGCTTAGTTCACAGAAACCAGATGTGGCAGTGTGCACCTGTAACCCTGGCACAGGCGGGTAGAGACCTGTGGATCCTGGGGCATTGCTGGCTTGCCGGTCTAGCTGAAACGGCAATCCTAGGTTCATAGAGAAACGCTGTCCTCACAAATAGGTGGTGGTGGTGGATGGCCGGAAGATGGCTCAGTGCATCAACCCTTGCTGTGTGGGTATGAGGACCTGAACCAATGTAAAGGTGGGTGTGGCACCATGCGTCTGTAACCCAGGACTCACAACAAGATGGGAGACAGATAGGAGAGATAGCCTGAGCTATGCAGCACAGTGGCAATCAACAAAGAGACTGTCTTAAACAAGATCACCAATAGCCGAGGCTATCCTCTGAGCTACATAGGCAGGTACATACACACGAATGCATGAACACCGCCCCCCCACACACACACCAGAAAACCTGGACTGTCTCATGTACCTGTGCCTTTCTTTTTGTGTCAGGGACTGACTCCAGGCTCTCAGGCATATTAGGCAAGTTCTCTACAGCTGAGCTCCATCCCAGTCCCATATTTCATTTTTGACTTAATTAAAAAAAACATTTATGGGAGTATTTGCCTTCATGTTTGTGCACCACGTGTGTGCAGGAGCCTGGGGAGGCCAGAAGAGGGCGTCAGATCCCCTGGAACTGAAGTTACAGATGGTTGTGGGCCACTCTGTGGGTGCTGGGAACTGAACCTGGGTCCTCTGCAGGAGCAGCCAGAGCTCTTAACTACAGAGACCTCTCTTCAGCACCTCATAGTTTGTTTTTTAAAGAACCAAACCAACTGCTACAAAGTGTTCTTCAGCTCCAGAGCCAAACTGTCTGTGAAATTTGGGGTCATTTAAAAACAAACAAAAAAAAAAAACAAAAAAAATCCCTAAGAATCACCAAAACCCTCATGTTTTAAGAAGAGAGACACCATCACTTACTAAAACCTCCTTCTCCCTGCCTTTCCTTCTCTCCCAGCTTCCCCCTTCTCCCACCCTGCAGGTTTTTGTTTTGATTTTGCCCTCAACATCACCATTCTCTTTCACCTCAGCCTCTCTCAGGTGTGCACCCCCAGGCTGAACTTGGACATAACAGGAATCCCAACCAGCAAAGATGTGCTCTGTGCCCAATTTTGTTGCCTGAAGGCTGTTGCTACCTTCAGTCTCCAGAAGGGAAAACTGAGGCCTTTGGTTCAGAGGCTGAGCTCTGACAAGTCAGTCTAAGTCACCCCGTGTCAGAGGGCCCACACCTGGGAGCTTCAAATTGCTCCATGAAAAAACCTCACAGATAGAAAGAGGAACCCATGCAAGAGACAGCCATGGAGATGAACACAGGCACTGGATGTCTTAGTGGTGGCTCGGGTCAGGGGAACCCATAGCCTTTGAAAGACCCTCTCCTTCCTCCAGGAATAAAAGCCCTGCACATAGACTCTGCACAGCAGCAGTGTGCTTCAAAAGCCCTGGGGTGGCCTGAGAGTACAAGGACAAGCCAGACACAACCCTGCTCGAAGTGACAGAAATCACAGAGGATCAGCAACACCCATGTTTTTCTAGCTGCCAGCCTTGGGGGTCCAGTAGCCTTGGAGTCCTCGCCAACCTCAGACTTTCGCTGCCTGATCCCAACTTCCCCTAAGCACCCTAAGACTGCCACAGGGAACATGCAGAGGGGTTTGCAAATACCTGCCAGGGGGTCCAACCCCAAGAAGGTGGACAATACCCCAATACTGTGTCACACTGGACAATAACCTCAGCGGCGTGCACAGACGCATGTATGCGTGTGTGTGTGTGTGTAGGTCAGAGGACAAATTCAGCCGTGGTCCCTCTGGTAGTATCCATCCCTAGGTCTGGGATTACCAGTGTGTGTCACCATGCCTGTCTCTTTACATAGATTCTGGGGCCAAGTTCAGGTCCTCGTGCTTGCAGCCGAGCTGTCACCAGCCTCACCGTCTTATTTTTAAATAGTCTCTTGCTGTGTGGCCCAGGCTGGCTTTGGACTCTCAATCCTCCTGCTAGTCTCCTGAGCACTGGGATTTCACTTACAGAGCAGGGCCTTTCTCCATGCATACTCATGCTGAGTGGGTAAGATGTCAACCAGGAAGCACACAGCAATTGGCTGAGTAGTTCAGAGCTGCAATGATTTGAGCCACTCTCTTCGGCTGCCTCAGCAGGCAGTGAAAGAGACAGTGGAGCCTTTGTTCTGTCTAGAAACTTCTCTTACCAAAACTTCTACACTTCCTGAACACAGTGTTACAGAGATGCAGGTTTCAGAGCAGGGACCCTAAGAACCTACAGACCGATCTCTTTCACAGGTTGAGGAACTAAGGCTTGGAGAAGGACTGAGGACACCCACGAGAAGCCCCCAGAACAGGCCACACTTTGTCCTTCTGACCCAGCAAATCTTCCCATGCTGGGCACTGGCTGAACTGAGGCAGGAAATGCGCTGACCTCAAGGTCATAGTCACTGGCCAGCTCTGCCCCAGGCAGATGCAATTGCTGGAGGAGGAGGCTGGCTTGGGACTTCCCAGAGCTGTTTAGAAGCAATTTCTAGTCCACTATGGCCCCACGAGCAGAGCTAACCTGCCCCCACCGCCTTCTGCAAACAGACCTGCTCAGCCTACGTGGACCTATTATCCCCAGCCCACACGAGGTCACACTTACATCCTCGTCATGTTCCAGCTCCAGGCCGGCCTCCAACAGGTTGCCCTCATATTCCTCCCGTCTGAAGCGCTTGTCATCTTCGTAGTAATCCATGGGGGCCTCGGGTGAGCCCACATCCACGGGGCTCCCCTTCCCGGGAAGGGGCTGGTCCTGCCTGACACTGCGGGTCCCCATGACCATGTCATTGTGCAATCCCCTCTTGGTCAGAGTTCTGCTGCCCGAGGCTCTCTTGTGATGGTACACCAAGATGTAGTCCACCTTGCGCTTCCCATCCCGGAAGTACAGGCCATACTTGCATTCGGCATCAGGGTCCACAGACAGGGAGTTGAGCAGCTGTGAGGCAAGAGAGAGAGAGAGAGTTGTGTTCAGTGTGGAGTGGTTCTCAGGGGGCCTCTGGGAATATGATTTTAGCTGGGTACTGCGCTCACCTATTCCCCCAGTCACTCGGCAAACATGCTAGACTTCAGAGTCCCCTTGATGCAGCCAGAACCTAAGAAATCCCTGTTATAAAACGTTTAGAAACACCTGTATCTGTACCGAGAGCCTGCATACACTTCTGCCTCACTAAAATCACCACTGTGCACAGGTTCTACACAAATACCCCACCATATTACTTAATTTTCCTTTGGGTGTGTGTGTGTGTGTGTGCACCCGCAGGTTTCTGAACTTGCCCATGTGTGCAAAAGTTGTAAGTTGACAACAAGCATCTTCCTTGGTTTCATTTCATTTTTAAGATTTCTTTTTATGTGTATAAGTGTTTGCCTGCAGGTATGTATGTGCACCATGAGTGTGCAGTGTCCATGGAGGCCAGAAGAGGGCACCAGACCCCTTGAAACTGGGGTTACAGGTGATTGTGATCCTCTATGTGAATGCAGGGAACAGAACCCAAGTCTTCTGCAAGAGCAAAACAAGGAGTCTTAACCATCATCCTTGTTTATTGAGACAGGGTCTCTCACTGACCCCGAAGCTCTCTCATTAGGTTAGGCTGGTTGGCCAGTGAGCTCATAATTTCTCTTACCTATACCCTCCCAGTGTTCGGATTATAGGTATGCCAGCATGTCCAGCTTTTTATCATATGTGCTGAGAATCCAAGCTCGGGTACTTTTGCTTATGTGGCAAGCTGCCCCCAGCATGGCTGTCCCATATCCTCCAAGACTTGAGCACCTGTGGGTTTCAGTATCTCAGGGATCATGAGCCACTTCTGTGCTATACCAAGGGACAGCCTCCCCTATAGATGCCCACTGAGAGCCAGACCCAGTCCTATGGGCTCAAACATAGAAGATGGGATGGCCTTCTTGGGGCCCACACTCTAGAAGAAGGTCTTTGTCTCCCCCGAGAATGTCAAGTCATGCCTGGTCACCAATAGGTCATCCTGGTCTCTGGATGGGAAGGTCCTGTCTGGCTCCTGGCAAAAGCTACTGGAAAAGCCACAAAGTGAGGGCCCCTGGAAGGACAGATGTAGGGCAGGGTCTGAGGGCGGGCAGAGCTGAATTTAGTTAACTGCAGGCACAATGTCAACCTCTGGCAGCTAGCATCCAGGCAACACGATGATGGTTCCAGGGCCACCAACTAGCTGTGTGATCAGAGCTCAGATGTGTGAGGCTCTTGTTCATACACCCTGGATCCTCCAGAAATCCAGTCTTAGTGTTGGGCTCTAGCATGGAAGGATGAAGACTGAGATCCAGTCTGGGACACAGCCTGAGGAATATCCTAGAACTGCCAGCTGTCCCCAGAGCTGAACACCTGATTCCGGCAGTTTTTTCCCCCAGAGGTTAACGGCCATGCAGAGCAGACACTACCCTTCCCCCTATGCCAGCTCTTGGTCCATGCAGAGACACTACCCTTCCCCCTATGCCAGCTCTTGGTCCACACAGAGTGGTGAGGAGGACAGTACCAGCTAGGTCCTCCCTGGTGGCACGTGAGGCCCAACACAATGGCCAGCAGCTACAGCTACCTACAGGTCTCTTTCTGCACCACATCCAGGATGCCTCCTCCAGGAACCCTTTCCAAACTGAAAGACCATAAGCTGGGTGGAGATTCCCTCAACACTGGCTGCCGTCCTGACCTCAGTTTCCTCTGCATGGTATTGGAAGACATAAGTCTTCCCCAGGATTTGTTTGCTAGGTTCTGCTCCCTTCTCTGGACACCTGTTACTATAGTCCCGGTTGTAGGATTCTCCACTCCCTTCCATGTCCCCTTCTGGCCTTCTATAGTGCCTCTTGTCCCTCTCACCCACTCCATCCCATCCTGTCCATGTCAGGGGCTCAAGCTCCACTAGTAACCAGAGGCCTGGCCTTGGTCTGACTTCGACTCTGATACACCAGCAGCTGGGAAGTTCCTGCCTACCTCCCCCAGGAGGATGTCCCCAGCTACTTGGTGACTCTGAAGGGCCATGTATTTCCTCAGAAGCAGCAGGGCAACATCCTCCTCCAAGGAACAGTAGGCTATGACAAGGGAGTAGGGGGATAAGGGAGAGGGGGGCAGAGAGAAGGATCCTTGAGCAGAGCCCAGCTACCGGGGCCAGGGGGGTCATGACCTTGCATCATAGCATCCTTACCCCAAGAGACTGTCCTGTGGAGAGAGCAGGGTCAACAGTCCACTCAGTATCCATAGCTGAAAGAGGCTGGAAGGGTTCTATCTACTTCCTTCATGGCGACTGGGGTGTCATCTACCCTGGTGACCTCCACGGGGCCCTGAACAGTGTGGACATTCTTCCCAAAGTGCTCCAGTAGGGTTTCTTTCCTGTTCTTTATGAGTAGCCATCTGTGCGCCTATGGGCCAGAGTCAACATGGTGGCCTCTGGGGAGCTCAGGCTGGTTGGTTTTATTTCGGTTTGGTTCTTTTGAAGCAAGAGCTGCTGTAGCCCAGGCTGGCCTGAAACTTGTTATGGAGACCTTAAACTTCAGATTTTCCTGCCTTTGCCCTCCCAGTGCTGCAGCTGGAGTACGTGCAGACCTGAGGCTAGACCTCAGGCCTTCATGGATGCTAGCAAGTACTCTACCTACTGACCCACACCCCCAGATCAAGGCTGGCTTTTGAGGAAAACAGGAGTGATGCTCTGGCCCAGTAAAGAGCTAAATTTATGGGAATCTGAACATCTGCCCTCAGCCACCAAGGAGAATATGTGTCTGTAGAGGGACAGGGGCCCCAGGTCAGGGGTAGACATGGGTTAGGCATAGCCTTGGATCCTGTCCACACACTCAAGGCATTTCTGCCCTTCACAGAAAAGGTGACACTCTTTCTAAGAATGGGGCACCCTGTCTTCAAATGTCCCACACATGGAAGGAGCTCTGTTGCTAGGTCCACTTGACCTGGCAGAAATTAGGGGATAGGCCCCAGGTGACCAGCTCAATGTCCTGGGTACCAAAACCCCAACCACTACCCTAGGATCCTGGTTCTGACTCATTAACTGAGGGGCACAGCCAGAAGTGTGCCTCCATCCCAGCATGAAGTTCCCGAGCCACCAGGCAGGCTAGCAAGCAGGGGCTGGCAGGGAGACCCAGAAACAACAGTGGTTTATTGCAGGCTCTGAAGGTGACCAGGCCAGATCCAAGCTTGGGAGCCCTGGGTGGCTGAGAGTCTAGAAGGGCAGTAGGGCCACCTCCTGCCAGGAGGATTAGCCAGGTTGATGAAGGTTCTGCTGCTGAGCAGAAGCAGGCCCAGAATATACCTGGGGGGCATGCCTGTCAGCCTAGCTCCAACCCGGGGACCAAAGGCAGGTCCTTCTCAGAATCCCAGGAAGGGCAGAGAAGTGCAAAGTCACAGGGTACCAGCTGCTAGAGAAGCCTTGAAGGGGAAGATGAGCCAGGCTCCAACAGAGAACCCTGGAAGACAAGGAGTCCCTGGACCATGCTGGGCAGGATGGCCATGCCGAGCTACCCTGGGCATATACTGGGGGTTGAGGACATGCCTGCCTTTGCTGGCATCCTGACCAGAGGTGCCGAGGTCTCCTACTTCCGTTTCCAAATACAATCCTGGTATCAATTCCTGAAGCTGGGACCTCACATGTGTCCTGCCTCTCCTACCTGCCTTCCCCCTTGCATAATCAAATCAGCTTCCCTCTCCTGCCCCACCTTTCTTCGTCCTTCTAACTGGTTTCCAAGCTTCTTTGTCTAGGATCCAAGGTACCATGTTGGTCTCCTGTGGACCACCTTCCAAGAAGTTCTAACTTTCCTTAGCATGAGCCCTGAGGCTAGACCAGGGACTGCCCTACCACACCCGCACTCAGAGCCAGAACAATGGCTACCATTGAAGAAGATGGACAGCCATGACTTAGAGAAAGGGACAGTCAGAGCCTTTCTGCCAGACAGTCAGGGAAATGACCCCAAGGATCCACCAAGGATTCTACAAGGTGAGGCAGGGGTCAGATCCAACATGAGCAATCGCCACCTATCTTGGTCTTCTTAGGCCCCCCAACAGGGGTCTGCCAGTGCTAGGGAAAGGCCCAGCCGCCAAAGTGAGCTTCATCTTGCCTGTGCTCAGAGACCAACTCAGCCATGATTTGACTGCACTGTCCCTACAATGTGGATTCCCCTTCCCGAGGCACATGTCAGTAAGCCCTCCTCCTTCATCCAGGACTTTGCTGGCAGTGTTGGTGGAAGGAGTCGGTGTTTACCATAAAGTATCTACCACCACAGGCCCCAGCAGACTTTGTGGCCCCAGGGACACACGATCTCTCTGGGAGCTGAATGCATGAAGAAAGAAAAAGGATGGGGTGGTTGTCCTTAAAATTACTGGCACAAGAATGAGTTCAATTCCCAGCAACCACATGGTGGCTCACAACCATCTGTAATGGGGTCTGCTGCCCTCTTCTGGCCTGCAGGCATACACACAAACAGAGTATTGTATACATAATAAATAAAGAAATATTAAAAAAAAAAAAAGAATGAGGACCTGGGTTCCGGTCTGCAGCACTCATGTAAAAATCTGGGTGCAGCATGCACTGAATGCAATCGTAGTATTGGGGAGGGAACAGAGGCTCACGGGCCAGCCAGTCTAACAGAATCGGCAAGCTCTGTCTCAAAAAGTAAAGTGGGGAGTGAGAGAGGAAGACAACAAATGCCAACCTCTGGAACACATGCATGCACGCACGTGCACACGCACACACACAGGTAGGGCAGAGAAAAAGAACTTTACTGTCAGAGTGGGCCATAAGAGAAAGGCGAAAGGGTATCAGATTGGGATTTTAAAACTGACAAAAGGGGGTGTAGGTAGCAGGAGGTGGCCCCAGTAGCAGCACAGCCGTCCCTTGGTGTCTTGTCCTGTTGTACCAGGGAAACTGTGTAGGTATTGCCTTTATAAAACGGGAAAAAGCCATCTTCACTCAGGGTCAGTGGGTAGCAACTTCTAGAGAAAGTGGGCTCCTTGCCAGCTGTTCTCTGTGCCAGCCTGGGACCCACAGGACCTGCAGGGCTGTTCTGGGGGCCTGCGAGACAGAGATGAAGACATGGCAAATCCCACAGAAGCTGCAGACACCAGGTGAGTCCACATGCCTCTTCCCTGTATAGAACAGGACAAAACTATGTAAACTGCAACAGGAGGGATATGGGTTGGACTTTATGTGTAACCTTCAAATATTCTCGTTTTCTATGATTAAGAAAAAGTGCACACCTTTAATTCCAGCACTAGAGAGGCAGAGGCAGGCAGATCTCTGTGAGTTCGAGGCCAGCCTGGTCTACAAGAGCTAGTTCCAGGACGGGCTCTAAAACTACAGAGAAACCCTGTCTTGAAAAACAAAACAAAACAAAAAACAAAACAAAACAAAAAGAGGGGACACCTGAATGAAAAGAAAGGGGTTTCTTAGTGCCCTTTTAATAGCTGGTTGAGAGAGAAAGTGTGTGTGTGTGTGTGTGTGTGTGTGTGTGTGTGTGTGTGTATAGGTACCTCTATTGCCTTGGCCATAGAGAATGGGAAGGACACTTCACTTGTAGGGGTTGTCTCCTGGGTGTTTGGAGGAAGAGCTCCTGGAAAGAGCTTCCTCAGGGGAAGGCTTTAGAGAGAAAGATAGAGTGCAGCTCCTGTCCCAGCACCGCAAACAGGGAAGGTCAGGCCAGCTGCCCCCAAGATGCTGAGTAGAGAAGGGAGACAATGGAGGACCCCACATTCACAACCTAAATGTGCCGAGACCAGCTTCTTCAAAAACCTCCACTTTCTGGAGCCCAGGCCAAATTCAAACGGCCTGTGACAAAATATTGGCGCTTTTGAAGGAATCTAAAGATCCCAGAATTTCTTTTAAAAGGGGGAGATGAAACCAGAGACCCGAAGACTTGGGTCTTGGATGACGAGGAGCATGCTCGTCATGCTGACTGATTCTGACACAAGGTTTCACTCTGTAGCCCAAGCTGGTCTCAATCTCTCAGCCTACGATTCTCCAGCTCTTGGATTACAGCCAGAGGCCACCGTGTCCTGATTGGGGGGGGGGGGGACAGCAATGTAAAACTTCGGTTTTATTCCAGACGGTTTTCGCCTGACTCATAAGCACAAGCTATCCATTTCCGATCACTGGGCTTGCCCAGGAATCTCTAAACAGAAGTCTCTGATGGCAGATAAGCAGCCTAGGCCCTTGCCCCAGCAGGTGGGTTAACACCCACACGCAGGTATTTCTGGATGTAGGCATCTCAGGCCATGGAGAACTTGCCTTAAAGACAGATACGCTCAAAGACCAGACCAGAGAAAACAACAAAACCAGTTACATTCACCTGGCCCCTGGCTTCCCAGCTGCTCCCCTGGTCTGCCTCTTTGACGGAACCAATGGAATGATCTGCCCCCCTTCCCTTGAAATGGAGAGGGCAGGAGGATAGTCTGAGAAGCGCAGTGTGGGACTGTGGGGTTTTGTCTAAGGCTGCACTTCTAGGAAAAGGAGGTGCAGCCCACACCCTCTGGCCTTTGAGAGCACTGGGCTTCTTCTGGGTGACTGTATGATGACTAACAGCGGTGGCTAGATTGTGTGGGGATACTGGGAATCTCAGGTTTCAGAGCTTCTGATTGCAGCATGATCCCTGAGTATGACCTGTCTTTCCTGTACATGAACCCAGGGCCACAGCCCTCCCAGCAAAATCATGCAAGCATCTCGGAAAAGCTCAGTGCAAAAGAAGGGCCCCTGGCCTCCTTCAGTCCTCAGGACTGTGAAGACTTTGAATGAGATCCAGACCTTAGTGACCTCTTTGGTTTGAGGGGCGCTGATGGTGGCTAGGTGTGGACACAGGTCTCTGGATGGGAATACCAGTGCCCAAGGCCATTTGTTCAGACTGTTTGTTCATGCTCAAGTCCCCTCCCATGGGCACCGCCTCTACAATAACACCTCTTTATTAGCTTGGCAACCACCATTCCCCTGTGACTCCAACTGGAGTCCCCATGTTCCCACCTCTGGGTGCCCTATCATGGATGCCACCCAGTTGCCCCCCACCATATCCATTCCTAGGTAGACTTGCCTGAAGTCTACCTCAGCTGTCTTTTAACTGGTGAGTGACTTGGAAGGAGTCACCTGTCCCTCTTAGCCTTAATTTCCCGATTTGTATTAACAGCACCCCCTCCCCAACTCCACCTTCTTGTTTTGAGTTAAACAAGTTAAGAAACACAGTTGGCCCAATTTGTGCTGTCCACACTTGTCCTTTGTTCCTATCATGGGTAACAGGAGAGCATTCCATCAGAACTCCTTAAGCTCCGGAAGAGCGGAGCCTTTCCTGTCTGTAGCTCTTTCTGGGTGCCCAGGGGCCAACAGGGGCCAGTAAGGCCCAGCAAGGCCCAGCCCACAGCTATGTTCAAATGTCCCCCTGAGCTCCTAAGGCTGTTCCCATCCTGTACATGACAGGAAGGTACCTGTCATCAACAGCTGCTCCTGGTCCAGACTCCCAGAACTCTGGGTACCACCCAGTAGAGCCCCCTTGTCTCACCTCAGGAATGCCAGGACTGTCCACAGCCTGAGCTTGCTCTGCCCAGCCCGAGTTTCAATCAGGCCTCTGACAGCATCCACCCTGGGCCCTCTGGTTCCCAGCCCCAGGCTACAACAGGTCAGAGCAATCCCCCAAGCTGGGCCCTCCACTCTTAGAGCTCCAGGCTGCCCTAGACATTGGACAACTCTGCTCCCTGGATCTTAGGACCTTGAGGGGAGACAGGAAGAGAAAGAAGTTTCTGCTCTTTGGTTCCCTCCGAGAGTGCCCCGCCCCCACTGGGAAACTTTGTTCTTTAAACCAAACTCATCAGGGGTGAATTTGCAAACCACCCCCACCCCACCCCACCGCCGCACCGCACCGCACCACCCCGTGCCACCAGGGATCCCTGTGTCCTGCTGGGTCTGGCTGCAGGGACAATGATAAGTTCCCCAACCAGGTGACTGGCTCCACCCTGCCCATGGCTAGGGCACTGGGTCCCAGACAAGATAGGTAATCTAGCTGGTCTCACTTAACCCCCCCCCCCCCCCCAGCATGACTCGCGCTGCTGGCAAGTGGAATCTCAGGACTCAGCCCCACCGGGTGGCGGCACAGTGGTCTTGCTCAACCTGGTGGCCACCTGGTCCCTGCCCTTTGCTCCCACCCATTCTGATGCTCCTGGGGCGCCCCTGGCCAAGAATCTGGAAAGGAGAGACCCACCCGGGCCTGGACTATATGCTCAGAATACTGGGAACCCCAGGCCGGGTACTGTGGGGACCCCGGGACACTCTAGGGACCCTGGGAGCTGCAAAGACCTCGAGAGACACTTTTGGCACCCTGGGGACACCACAAACCCCAAGCTGGGCGCTGTGTTCACTCTAGTGATCTCAGACAGTGCGCTGCGAAGACTTCAGAGACACTTTGGGGATCTCGGGGATACTCTGAAATCCCAGGTCCAGCGCTTACAGGGACTTCGGAAACACTCTTGAGACCTCGGGACTCTCTGGAGGCCCCTGACAATGTACTGCAGAGACCCCAGGAACACTCTGGGGATCACGGGCCGAGTATTCCGGGGACCGGGGGGCACTGCAAACCCTGGGCCGGGCGCTACAAAGATCCCAGGGACACTCTGAGGACCCCGGGCGCTGCGTTCCGCGGGTGGGAGGACACGCAGAGTACAGCGGGTCGCGCGCACTTGGTCAGGGGAGCAGCGCGTTTCCGGATCGCACGTGCGTTGATGGGAGCCCCCAGCGTCTTGCACGGTGTGGGGAGGTAGCCCGTGACCGCACCCGAACTCAAACTCACCGTGCCCTCGGACGGCAGGTAGCCGAGATCCTCGATGGCGCAGATGTTCACGATGTGGACGCTGCGGTCCTCGGCTGGGAGCGTCGAGTACTTCTCGGGGATCCTCATGGTGGCCGCGCGCTCCCCATCCACGGCCCCGGTGGCCTCTGCAACGGAGAAGCGGTGCTGGCCTGGCGCGGACGGGACGTGGCCGCTCCCTCCTCCCTCGCGACCTCCCGGGCGCTGTCGCCACCTGGCCCGTCCCGAGGGCGCCCGCGCGCCGTGAACTTGGCCGCGCGCCGGCTCCGCCTTAAAGATATAAGCGCAGGGGCGGTGGCCACGCGGGTCAGATTTTCCGTAAAAATTTAAACACAGGAAGAAAGGATTCCGAGTCTTATTTTTATCCGGGGTCAGAGACCCTTTAGAATTGAAGGTTTTTTCGTTGTTGTTTGGGTTTGTTCTATTTTTTTGTCTTATGGGTTTTTTAAATTTGAGGGAGGAAAGGATTTTTTACTCGGAGGGGAGGTGCCCAAGACTGCACGTTAAATAAAGGCCCCGGAGCTAACTTTGCTGTCTCTTTGACAGATCAAACACAGGGCCCTCACCTGGGACCCTCTCCTGCCCCCAGCCTCCCCAGGTGTCTGTCCGGTGCAGACCCCCTCCCCCACCATCATCTCCCAAGGACTCTTGCCCCCACCTGTGAGTTTTTAGACAATCCCTTCCACCGGCGAGAGAGTGGGTGTCAGCTAATGAACCCCTGCATGCCAGGGGAGAATGGTACCCTGTGGTTTGGTGGAGTTTTGTTTTGTTTGTTTTCTCAGAGAATTTAAGGAGGCTCCAGAACACCCTGACCTGACCTGACCTGACCTGACCCTCTGAGGCAGGTTGTATCTTCTGCAGAGCGACCAGAATCCAGTGATTTCGGATCTCTCACGCCAGGACTTAGCAGAGCCCCTGCACACAGTAGGTGTCTTTAAAGTCTCCCTTCCAGAGGAGGAGGAGACCCAGCTCCAGGGGCAGCTGTTGTCTGCCCTGGAGGATGGCCTGTCTTTCCTCCTGGGCTCCCCAGCCTCCAGTCAGCCAGGTTCTCTTTTGTCCCTGTCCCCAGACCCTGTCTGTCTGCAGTGTTTCCACCCAACACCTTGTCTGGTGGGCTGCCAGCATCCTATAGCTAACATTCCCACCAGCTTGTGTAGCTAACTGCATGAGAACATTCAAGGCCCTCGGAAGTAACGGGCAGAACCCATCAGCACTGACCCTGGTGATTCCCAGCCCGTATCTAGACAGGTGGTATTTGGCTTTGGCTCTGGAGTTCCAGCCCAGGGGCCAAGCGACACCTTCTCAGGCTCACAAGCTGGCCTCTTCACGAGCACCAACACTGTCTGGCTGCAGCACAGTGTGCTTGCCCATGGTGGCTGCCATCGTGTCATTGTCCAAACTGCCCCTTCTCAGCCAACCATATCCCCCCATTTAGGTCCAAGTCTTTGAACTTGGAGTGGTGAAAGGGCTCCTGGGTCCTTGAGCTAGCCACTCCCATAGGTGCCAAGTGGCCTTCAAGTGGGATTTAAGAAATGCCTTAACCTGGCCAAGTCCCAGTGCAAACAGCTCCCCTCCCCCGCCAGCCTCCACTGTGCTGCTGTGCCGGGACTGGACTGGGAAGACATACAGTCACACACAGGATTATGTAACTTCATACTTGTGTTGATAAACAAGTGGCATTGTGTAACTGGAGCACACCCTTCTCCTGGATTTATATTCAGGTGTCAGAGAGCTTCCAGAAACCAACAAGGTATACTTTTTTCATTTTAGGAGAAAAAAATAAAATTGGTCAGGGCCAGGGATGTGACCTAATTGTAGAATGCTTAGTGTGTGTGAGGCACTGGGTGGGACTTTAGTGTTATACCAAAAATAAAGTGTGCATACATGTGTGTGCACATGTGAATACATATGTGTGTGCATATGTGTACTGTGTGGGTACATGTGTGCATGTGTAAGAGTGCATGTATGCGCTTGTGTGTGTGTGTGTGCGCGCATGACTGTGTCTAACTGGTCATTATCAGAAGCACTGGTGTCCCTATGTGTTTGGGAAGTAGCACTTTTCCTCTAGCCCTGAGGAGGTTCTAAGGTGGGAGTGGCCCTCCTGACCTTGTTTCCCAAAGCCCCAGGAAGTTGTCAGGTGGGGGGACCATCTCTAGATATGGCAGCTCCATCTTGTCCCCAGGCAGCTTTACCCTGTAGCAGAGGAGGCTGTGTTGAGGTTCTTTCAGGTTTTGGCCTGGTTCTGCCGTTCGCCTTGCCTAGTAGTTGAAACCTGCTTGCTTAGAAAACTCCACTTTCTCCTTTTCCAACCTTTGCTTCTTCTTGTTACCCCTCCTCCAAAGCTTCTGAGTGCAGTTCAGGGATGGCCCAGCAAGTTCAGAGGGGGTGTGGGAGGGCATTAGGGATGGCCCAGTGAGTGCAAAGGGGTGTCAGTGGCCATCACCCAGTGAGTGTCTTGGGGGGAAGGATGGGCTGGGATCAATCCTGAGCCAGCTGATGTTGACCATCAGCTTGACAGGTTCTAGAATCATCTAGGGGACAAACCACTGCACATATCTGTGAGGGAGTTTTTAGAATGGGTTAACTGAGGTGGGAAGACCCACTTTAAATTTGGGGGGCACCATTCATTCTGTGAGCTGGGGTCCCACAGTCAATGAGAGAGCCGGATGAGCACCGTGTTCATTCTCCCCGCCTCCTGACTATGGTTAGAATATGACCATCATCACGCATGCCTGACACTGTGCCTTCCCACACGATGAACTGAGCCCTCAAACTGTGAGCCAGATAAACCTTCCTCCCCATGTTGTGTTTTGTCAGTGCAATGAGACAAGTAGCTGTACCCCACAGTCTAGGCCCACAGTTCTTGGGTCTTTGAATCTTGAGGATCAACAACAAAAAATACAAAATTAAACCAATAGCTCACAAACCCACTTCCAGGAGAAGGAGAGGACATCGCCTCCTCCCAAGTCAAGCCCTGTCTCTGGGAGCCTTTGTTCTGGGCTGAGTCACTTCTCCAATTCACTGCCTCTGTGTCCCAATGACCACGCTGTTGGGACTATTTCCCCTCAGAGTGGTTGAGTGGAAATGAGCCTTGTCCATTGACGAATGCAGCGGTTTTCATCACACCATACCCCAAGGGCCAGCTTCTGTCATCAAGACTAATCCCTCATTAATTAGTTAACATAGCCTTGCTGGAAGGCCACAGGGTGCTCTTTATGCTGAGAAGTTCCGGCCCTCGATGTACGTCTTGCCTTCTCGAATCACCCTAGACTGGTGTTTGATGCCAGGAGCCAACAGACACCTGTGTCTTTGCTGACATTTCTGTCGTGTGTGTGTGTGTGTGTGTGTGTGTGTGTGTGTGTAGGGGGGAGCAGGAAGTGAAGAAGGGAGGAGAGAACCTGCCTTGTGAAAGGCTTGGAGAGAACCTTTTCCCATGGACTTTTGGTCTTGGCTTGGCCCACAAGGAAAGAGTCTCTTGCCCTCTGCCCTGCCCTGCACCACGTGTGAGCACAAAGCCATCTGCAGCTCAGAGAGAGGAGCCAATGAGCTTTTACAAAGTCAGACAGAAGGAGGGCTTCTGCCAGAGCGAGGCAATACCTGGTCACAAAGACCCTGGTCCCAAACCAGAACCTGACTGCCTGTAACCGAATGCCAAGCCTCACCATGCCCCAGTCCCTTCTTTGCAAAATAAGTCATCTGGAATCCTGACACTGGTGATCCCTGGGCCAGGAGCTGTTCTAGCAGAGGTCCCTTCCTAGATGGCTCTATAGGGGCAGTGTGGTGAATTGAGATTGGTAGAATGCACTTTTGGGTGTCTCTATGAGATGGTTATAAAACAGCAGTGTTTTCCCACTTGAAATATTCCTTCTCCAGTCCTTAAGACTCAGTAAAGGAAACTCACAAGACTTAGGAAGATCTTAAAACTTACAGGACTCACAAGGCTCCTCCCAAAGGAGCAGTGATTTAATTAATACAGTTTTCTGTGTGATTATTTCGGTTCTGTGCGGCTGGAACAAACAAGCAGCCTCCCTCCCTCCAACAAGTACCTCTTCACATATATGCCTCTAAGTTATCCCACTGAAGTTACTGTCAATTGAGCTAGACTCTGGTGGAATGGTTTCCTTGGTCTGTAGCCAGTGCATTTGCTCATATCTCCCTAGGAAAAGTTACACAAAAATATCTCCAGAGATGGTTGCATCCTAACAGCTCAGACCTAATCAGTGGATTGATGTCTTCATGGATTCATAACCTGATGGCATGACTAGTAGGTATTGAGAGGTAGGAGGCAGGGTCTAGAGGGAGGGAGTAAGTCATGAGGGGAGTGTCTGTGGGGCTGGGCCTGGCCTTAGCCCTTTCAGAGATTCCTTCTTTGCTTCCTGTCTGTTGTGAATGAGCTTTCTGCTCGACATGATGGGCACTTCTGATGTGGTGAGCCCAAGCAAACACTGTCCCTTCAAATTGTGCTCAAGTAACAAGGATACAAGGGTAACTAAAACACTCCCATGACATTTGGGATGGGACTGTTCTGGACCTCAGGGCCATCTTATGTCCTTAGTCATCTCTACCCCTAGAATCCAATAACATCTTCTCCTGCTGCCTCTTCTGTGACAACTTAAAACTGTCTCAAGATTTGTCAGACATCTTTGAGGTGCCCCCAGGTTGGCCACTATGCTGAGGTCACCTTTGATGGGTGAACCACACTTGTCATTGGCCTGAGAGCCAATGCACTTAGCTTAAAGTTCAGGCAGGAGAGAAGGTTCTGCTCACCCCCTACTGAGAATCGTGTGTGTGTGTGTGTGTGTGTGTGTGTACATGCGCAGGTGTTAGAAGTCAGGCAGATAGCTCTTGGGTAGAGTTCTGCATTTCTTAGGTGCCTAAGAGCTGGGGAATGAGGCTATGTTGGTAGAGCGCTTACCCAGCATGCACAAAGCCCTGAGTTCCATCCCCAGTACTGCATTAAAAAAAAATTCTTTTCTCCAAAGGAAATTCTTTGGGTCAGCAGGATGGCTCAGCAGGTAAAACCACTTGCAGTTAGACCTGCCGACCAAAGTTCAATCCCAGGGATCCACACTGCTGAGAAGTGAACTGACTACAGCAGGTTGTCCTCTGGTCTCCACATGGCATTCAC